CCCCAAAACCCCAAAACCCCAAAACCCCAAAACCCCTGGAATATTTTGATGTATTGATTAAAGTTTATTGATCTTTGGAAGAGTAAACTAGTTCGAATTTACTTAGATTGTTGGTCGAATCACCTAAGAATATCATCTTTCCATTATGCAGATGAGTCAACGGGTCAAGAGCTATCCGGAAAGAGTTGTCTAGAACTGAAGAGATTATCCTAGACAGTAGGGAGCATGGAGTCTCAAGACAAGGATTCGTATTGACTTCGATGAGGTACACTTTAAAATCTTCAGTGACCATGAAGTCGTATCCGAATAATTCAAAGCAGTTTGATCGCTTTTTGGGGTTGATCTTCCCCTCACTTGCAAGGAAGGTATCTCTAACCAGTTTCTTAATCTGTGGATATATGTGAGTGTAGAATCAGCCAGGCCCTTCTTCATTCTGTTCAGGATAGTTCTGCTCAAGGTACTTCTCAAAATCTTGGAATGAGAGTTTGTTGCTACTTTCGTACTTTCCATAATCTTCTGACTTATTTTTGAATTGCATCATTGGTAAGGTGCACGAATTTGTCGTCTAGGTCATCAGGACTGTACTCCTTCGAAGCAGTTCGTAGGTAGCCGTCTTGGTAGAAAAAGGCATGGTTTTGGCCATTTATAGATGTCAGTAAGGAGAATCACCGAATATCAAACTTCCGTTTATTGATGAGAAGAGGGTTACTGATGTACTTTTGGATTATGTATCAGTCGCGAACCCCCATGTTTACGTAATCTTCAATCATTGAAAGGTCGTCTAGCACTCAGATGTGCTGGCCTCGGTTGCTGTTTTCACCTGGTTTGCATATCCAGTGATTCTCTTCAGTATCTTGGAGTGATATTTTTGAGAAATATTCTCGGAAATTGCTGAACGAAGAGTCTTTGCTCCCACCTGAGACCAGGAAAGTTAGTGGAATGTTCTCTGTTACATCCTCATCTGTAGCTTTGTAGTAATTGGTCAAGTTGTCAGTCAAGGAATTTTTGTTAGAAAGATGAAAATTCCCTTCTAATTTCCCATAAGTCCTAAGAGGAGGATCCTCAGTTGGATCAATCGGAAGACTTTCTACAATAGGTTGCTTGATCCACTGAGTCCATATGAAGTCAGTTGTTTCGTAGTTCTCTTCATGTGAATCCTGGATGGACCACCAAGACCTCCTATTCAGCATGGTTTTAACAATTGTTCCGTGATTGCCTCTTTGAATGAAGGCTTTGAAACCGTTATTCCTTTTGATAATATCAGGTTGCTTTTCGTCCTCTTCAGATATATTTTTGATGCAATTCTGAGTGTTGATAATGCTTAGGAACTTCTCTAGTGCTTTGCTCCGTACTTCATCAACAAACTCGTTTGAAGAGTAGTATTTCAAAAACATATTATTTCTTAGGCTTGACTCCAAGCTTCTTGCTTAGTTCAGAGATAATGTTTGCGTCCTCTCTCGAATCTGTTTTGCCACTTGCAAGGGTGATGAAATCACTAAAGTTTCTGAGCAGTGTATTGAATGGAGAATCTGTGCAATACTCATGAACACTCCGTGATACAATCTCTTTATACTTTGAAGGTACTAGGTTTGACTTTTGGATACTTCTAACTTTCTCCTCAATTTTAACTTGGAAATACTCTGGACCCTTTAGACGAGGTTTCACGCTATTCTTTCCAATTTTTGGCTTCTCAGGCTCTTCAGACATTTTAAAAGGGAACTTTATCTTACTAGACATGTGGAGAGACTCAGGTTTGAGCTTCTTATTAGAAGTGTTTCCCTTTTTCAAGGCTCCTTTGAGCTTATCTAGTCGGGTGTCAAGCTTTTTGATCAACAACTGGTGCTCCTCATGCTCTCTAAATCTATTCCTGTGGCAAGCCTTCTTTGTTTTGAAGATGGTCTTGTTTGTTTTGCTTTCAGAGTTTTTGAGATGCTCTTCAATAACAGGGAATTTTATGTGATCTCTACAGAATTTGTGTGTATTTATGTTCAATTTATTTGCTAAAGGTGAGGTTAAGGCCTTACTTTATAAGCAATTTTTGAAGTTCGTCTTCATCCAGAATTCTATTTTGACTGAATGTATCTTTCTAGAGATCTTAGCAAGGTTTCATACCTCTCATGATCTGGCTAGGGTCTTGTCAAATGATAGGACCCTTCATTGGAGATCCAAATTTTCTCATTGAAATTGAATTCAAATTCTTGATAAAGGTGCTTATGTCAAATCCATTGTCCATGTGAATCTTTGTGGGTGTTGAAGGTGGGTTAAGTGATGCTATTTTAAAAGTGATTACTCTAAAGCTTAAATCATTCAAATTAACACCTTCTGTATCTAAATTGTGACTTACAGATGCCTTTACGGTGCTTATGGAAGATTCTTTTGGATTTCCTGTATCTCTCGCTGATGAAGCTGTCCTCTTCTCTTTAGATTACTTTTGGAAAATACCGAAGTTCATTCCAAAGATTTTCCTCTCTTTCTTCTAAAGCGGAAGCGAAGTCTTCTTTAATGGAATCATGATTTTTGGCTGATACCGTGTGGCTATAAATGAACTTGTTGGGATTACTTATTGAGAGGAGGCATAAAGCTACTATCAGAGTCTATTTTAATCGACATGGGGCCTTCAACTCTGTTTCTAACCACATTAGAGCCCTTCTTAATGGAACCCTTGCTCGCACTGTTGGTGGAGGACTGAGAAATGCGCTTTTTCTTCATGCTAGAATTTCGGGAATGAATACCTTTTGTGTGCTAAAATCGATGGTCTTCTCATGAGCTTTGGTAAAATACTCGCTTTTCTGATTCTTCATGCCACTGTTCCGATTCTTGCTTGACTTATTTATAATAATTTAGCAAGGAACCATGGGCATTCTTTTGAGATGAAGTCTCTACAAAATTATTCGAAAATCTACCGCTAAGTTTGCACACGAGGAGCCCTTTTTGAATCAACTTGTTCATGTTAGAACTTTTGACCTGGAATGAGACTTTCGACTCCTTCTCAGTCGGAGTTGACTCAATATGTTTAGAAAGCTGAGAATTGTCAAAAGTCTTATCAATCTGGGGGAAGTTTGGCCCAAAGCGCATTTTCGGGACGACTGGTTCCCTTCTTCCTTGAGTATCACAGGTATGTTTGATAAAAGAGTCATTACCTTGGATCATCAAGTCTATGCTCCATAACTCCATGGCTGGATGTGATACTTACCGTTGCCATCAGATTGTTTGGAGAAGGAATCCTGTCTCCGTTTCTTTGCGAGGACCATCTTCTCGTTGATATCATTCCTGTAAATATTTCTAAGCAGCAGGTTGTCCTTGCAGTGCAACTTTGAAGTTCTGTTTTTGGGTGAGCCGACTGGAATATTGGATAATTTTATGTTTTCATAGGGCGGTCATTGGACTGGAGGGGGATAGGAAAAAGCTTACTTTGAGGACTGTGCCTAGAAGGCTTGTCTAGTGTCTTAATCTCCATTTGATTATATTTTATTTTGGCAGTAGTGGGGTTTTGGGGTTTTGGGGTTTTGGGGTTTTGGGG